TACTTTTATTTAACTTAATAATTCAAATATTAGTTCTATAGATTTTTTACTAATTCTTATAATTTTAGGAAATATAATTTTCTTTCTTTAAGTATTTGAATTATTTCTTGATTATTGAGTTTTTTGTGAACTATAACTAACCTTACTTGATTGGATTTAATTTTGAGTATCCAGTGTTGTTTCAATTTAGTATACTTGTAATATGTAAAGAAATGGATTCAAAATCTTTTTTGATAAAAATCCATTTGATATTTGTGAATATTAACTATTTTTCTATATTCTTTTATTGTCTTTCTAATCAATTGTTTATCATATTTATGATATATATCCACTAGTATAATATTTTTTTATCTGTTTTTTATTGAAAGAAAGCTTTCTAGTTTGAAAAATCTTTTATTTAAAACATATAGTATCTTTGAAAGGCTAGATATATGCTCCTATATTGATCCATTCTCTCGATAGAAAAGTTTTTTTCTTTTTTTTTTTATTAATTGATTTTAGATACTATGCTGTATTCTCATTTTTATCAATACCAAAAGTGATTCAGTGGTTACTATTGATAAATTCAGTTTTGAAAGGATTTAATTTCTTAAGTATATTTAAAATTTTTTTGAAATATTTTATTCCTTTTTTTTTGTTATTACTTGATAATATGACTTGAAGCATTCTTAATTTAATTATATTAATTTGTTTGATAAAGTAAAAATTAACTATTAGAGTCTTGTATCCTATTTTATATATTATAAAAGATATTTTTTGTAATGCAAGTTTCTTGAACTATTTCTTTGATCATTTCTACTTCTGTTTAATCTGTTATGATTTGATCTTCTATTACAACTTTTTTAATAAAATTGACTTTTTCAATTTCTATAAAAGTTGGTTGAGTATCCATTGAAATATTATTTGTTTTTACAGTTTCTTTTAAATTGTAACCTAGGATGTAACTTCCTATCTTATTTGTTAATATATTGTATATCTTTTTTTTTTAAGTATAGAATTTTTGAGATTTTGCTTCTTGCCTTGTCCCTTTTTCTACAGGGTGATAATATACTTTCTTAATATATATATTTTTTGTTAAAATTAAAGAATCCATCTTTAATAAATTGACTATAGTATTATCCAATATTGAAAATATATGATTTGTTTCTATTAATATATATGATTGGTCTTCTGTCTTATACCTCAACTCATGTTGAAACATTTTTATCTTTTATAATTTTTATTGAAATTATAATTGGTAATTAATTTTTCTAATATTTTTAGAATTTCTTTTTTATATTTTTCTAGAATTTTAATGATTTTTTGCTTTTTCTAAATTATATTATTATATGAAATAAATAAATAATTATATATACTAAATTGTTTTAATGTTTTTATTATTTTTCCACATGTTAATCTATGTATATGAAACTATATTGGATTATGAGTAGTAGTGGTCAAATAATTCTTATCAATATATTAATAATTTATATATTTTTAGATCTTATATATTGGTCTTATTTATTTGTATATGTATTACTGTACTTGTTTATTGCACATAATATAGTCTAATAAATATATATTATTGCTTTGAGTTGAATTAATATGTTTTGATATTATTGATTTGTTATATTTAAGATATATTTACTTTATGTATTTGTATTTATGTGATATGAATAGATAGGTTAGTATTGTAATTGTTTTATTACTAATTTTTATTGTTTGACTTAAGAGACTTGAATATTTTTTTAGATTTTTGAGTTCTGAACTTGAATTGATTTATTGGTTTAGGTTATTGCTTCTGAAACTTTTCTTAATATCTAGAAAGATATTAACTTGCATTGATCTAATTAAGAGCTTTATAAAATTGATATTGGATTTTAAGAAACTTATTGTAAATCTGTTTGTCTTTGCATTTTTTTTTTCTAAAGCAAATTAAAAGCAAAAAGATATTGTTACTAAATTATAATATTCTTTTCTTGTTGTCAGGAGTTGGTTTTATGTTATCTGAAGGAATGTTTTAACTATTTCTCTTTAAAATTATTTTTTGTGAAAAAGATTTTTATAAAAAAATTCTTATAAACAGAAATTTTTTAAAAATTTGGAGATTAGCAGAAAGAGTTATTTTTTATTTTTATTTTTAGTACTTTTAATTATATAGATTATAAAAAAATTATATTTAAAATAAAAATTATAAAAGATACAAGAAAACTAAAACATATATCATCAAATAATAATTAATAATATTATTATTATTTTAAGAATAATGGAAATAAAAATAGATAAATAGTATATATTAAAATAAAAAATACATTCAATTTTTTATTTTTATAAAATATAATATAATTATATAGAGTAGAATCTAAAGTAAAATAATAATAATTTTGATTTTGAATTTGATTATTTTTTTCTTACACAAGTTTTACTTTATATTTAATTTACATTTTTATAATTTGTTTAATAGTTTATATACTATATATTTTTTAAAATATTTCAATTTAATATTTGTTTAAATAAAGGATCTATTAAGTAAAATTTATCTGTAATATTATAATAATTGAAATTATATAATATAAAGAATATAATTAATATAAAAAAGACTTTTTATTAATTATCTAGAAATTTATATTATAAATAAAAAAAATATTTATTATTTGATCATCATCAAATAAAAAAAATATTTATTATTTGATCATCATCAAATAAAAAAAATATTTATTATTTGATTATCATCAAATAAAAAAAACACAACTCTTTCTGCTGATTCTTTGATCACATACAAAAAAGACGTTCACAAGAAGTTTCATTCTTCTAGGCTAACAAAGTCTTACTACTTTTTTTTAATCAACTTGTGAATAAGATTTTCAAGAGTTACCCACTACCCCACTATTCCTTTTTATATCTTGCTACAAAAAACTTGTCTTCTAGTGACTAGAAAGACAACTCTATCCTTCTTACCAATGGCAAGAAAGTTTTGAAAGAAAGTAAACCTGATTTCTCTATCTCCTTCTCACTTACCTCAGAAACATTACAGAGCCTAGTTTGTGATGAGAGACTCTTTAGAAGACAACTCCACCACTCTCTTGTCATTGTGGAAACTCTAATAGTGCTCTTTCACAGTTTTCTCTGGGGGATTTTGCCTACCTCAGTTTAACCCTGAATTTTAAGTAGTACAAAGTTTCTGGTACTGTAATTGGATGATGAAAACACGTCAGCGATCCAAGATGTAAACAAGCTCCTATTGGTCACTTCACGTGTCTGAATGCATTTCCTCAGTTCCTATAAGAATCTGGGGTCCATTATAAGTTGCATGCCAGTCGCACGGGTGGATATAGGACACAATACCCAACACATCTTAGGAAACAGAAAAGAGTCCATCCAATCATGGAAAAGGTTACAAAACATTTCAATCGTTTTTAAAATTGAAGTCACCTATCCTTGGCAGTCAAGTAGGTTCGCTTTGCTCTCACAGATAGATAAAGATCTGTTTTTTTTTTTATAAAAAACAAACAAGGTGAACAAGAAATTTTTCCCAACCAGTGGGTTTTTTACTCCTGATCTATGGTTTGCTGGAGGACCTGAAACCAAAGCTACACCAAGGCTTCTAACATAACCTCTCCTTTAAGAAAGGCTTTAAAGCTACCAGTGGTACCCACCATTCTTATTCGTAGTGAAAATACTAGTTGAAAACATTTGCCAGAATAGAAGAATCCCCTCTAGACTAAATCTACCTTTGAAAGTTTTGCACCTTCTTAAATAAGCAGCAGATGCTTGAAGATGATATTACCTATAGAACTGGATTCGTCAACCCCATCAAAGGTTTTAAGGTATCTCTTTGGCCATAGGTCCCACCAGATCTTTGGATGAGTAATCCCTTTCCTTTTTTGCACTTCACTCCCTTCTAAAGATGAAGAAACATAGTATTCCGGTGGATAATTCGCAAGGCATCGGATTGGTCAATGGTATTCTTTGGTAAATGGTCGGCAGGTGTAGAAAATCTAGATTGATTATTCAGTGGTCCACATAGTTTTAAAAAATTTTTTTCAGCACTAGTTAGACCTTAGACTAGACCTTTTTTCTTTCTTAAGAGGTGACTAGGCCACAAGATGAAGTCTTCATAAAGGAGCTCTTCTATTGTAATACTTTATTTGTACAAACATTTCTTATATATAGTTCCAGAGGAACTTTGTTTTCTCTACCTTATGTAAGGATCCCTCAATAAAGTTTTGGCTTAGCCAACGTTAAAAAAAAAAAAAAAATTTTTTTTGATCATCATCAATTTGTATAATAATACCAAACTTCTATAATTAAACCTATGATAGGTTACTTTTAATTCACTATATATATAATATAGAATAAATAATAAAATAATTATAATTTTAAACTTTTGAGTGTATAGGATTAATTATTGATAAAAGATTAAAATAAAAAATAATGAAAACGATAAAACATGCTCAAATTAAAATTTCTTCTATAACATTTCCATGCTCTCAAATTTATAATTTATAATTTTTTAAAAATTCGATAAAGATTTTTTTTTCATGTTTATGATCTTTTTTAAACTATATTGGGTTATTTATTTACCATTAATTTATTTATCAATATTTCAATGAGTAAACATTGTTATCATTTAATTTGTACTTCAGTTACAATAGCCAATTAAATCGAATCGTTGTCTGAAGAATGTGCAAAACATATTAACGTCAAACAAGAATACGCTTTCTACCGACTATGATAGTTCGGGCAAAACTTGAGAATTGATTGAGAAAAACATTATTTTATTTCTTTTTTTTTTCATTTTTTTTCGTAATATATATACGCATACATACTTATATTGCTTGTTGAAAGATAATATATAATATCGCGGATTTGGTATCTCGCAATGGTTAGAGATTAAAAGAAAGGAAGAGTAACAAACCCTAATTATATATGAATGTCTTGAAATAGATGTTTTATTTAAATGTCAATGTCCATGCTGCAATAACCAGTGTAAAATGCAATTCTTTGGGATGCTTTCCTGACTAGTCGCCACCACCCATTCCAAGTAATTTTACAAATTTACGTCTGAACCTTTTCACCATGGAACTTCTATTCTTCGTCCTCCTGCTTCTCATACTACCCCTCTCATCCTCATCTCCGTCAAATAATACGTCAATCCACTCTCTTGGTGTGGGAATGTTCTCTTTTTGATAGTATTTGATGATCGAAAATAATCGTTGGAAATCTTCTTTTAATGCGGGGCTCTTCTCGGCCAAATTTTGTAGGATCGGTTCGTCTCCGGTGAATATATATAGGGTTTTGATGTGTTCTGACGGGTCGAGTTTGTTGTCTTCTGCAGGCTCGCTCGAATTAGAATTGTCCACCGTATTTTCGTTTTGCTTCGTAAATTCATCACCCTCTTCACCGTCCTTCCCGTTATCTTTCTTACCGTCTTCGTCTTTCTCGATATCTTTTTCGTCATCTTTCTCAATTTCTTTCTCGTCATTCCTTTCTTCTTCTTCGGCCGAACGAATTTCTAACAGAAAATCCTCATACAACGTCTCAAACAATGGTCGTTTCTGAAGGATGTATGTAGGATGGATGGTATTGATTTTTGTGCTGTCGATACTTTGTATCAATATATTCGTCTCGCCCAGGAGTTTTATGAGCTTTTGCTCTGTTATTGTGTATGGTGATGACATGTTGCGTGTGAAAGGGAAGAAGCAAAGAGTTTTTATAACTTATTATTTAAGTTAAGTTGCTTTTTATTTGAAGTGTAAAACAAGTTACAATATGAACCTTTGACTCTGTTAATTTACTTCTTACAGAGAATAGAGGAGTCAGGAAAAAGAAACAACAATGCTACGTGCACTGAAAAATTTTAGAGAAAAGATCAGTTGAACCAATCCTTACGCCTTAAATAGTTGACTTTACGCTAAATGCGCACTGAATCATCAAATCTTATACAATAATGTATGAGATTGGGAACAAATAAAGTGCGAGGACGTGAACTTCTGTGAGCACAATAGTTATAAACAGTTGTATAACAATAACAATTTTAATTAAAACAGGAAGCATCTTTGCAATATACTGTAGGTATTAATAGTAAGTACTATACAGTCACCCGAACAAAATATTCGTCCAATTTCGGTCAAGCTTTATAATTTAACATTAGAATCTTGGTCCGAATACTTTGTTGGGCGATTGATTGTACACACGAAACCCAATGCCTCTAACGTATAGCATGCCATCCGATGTATGACGATATATTCCTTCGTCCCAGTCCATAATTCCAATTTCGATCGTACTCACACAGTTCGTATATTACACCGATCACACAATCGATACGCTTACGTAAAAGAAGAAATGTATGGTGTTTGATTAACATGTAAAAGCACCAACCATCGGCGGAGTTTCGTGGCGCGGCGGAACTTACGTAGCAAAATGTATAATTCCTGATGGAAATCTGTGTTTGCATAAACGCCAATGGTTGTATTGAATATCGTCGAATCCAAATTTGGTTGTCAGAAACAGAAATAGATGATACACTCGAAAAAAAAATGATGCGCTCTTTCATCATTTTTTTGGTCAAATGGTTTTCTGGTGCATAATCGAATCATGAGACTATATTCTTAAAATCCCACTATAGTTTTAAAGGGGAACTGCAATACTAGAATATGTTAGACCCATAACTCTCACGACGGCGGCGTTTTACTTTTCCGTGCATATGGACCACGTCCATCCCTTTATTCGTATCCATATTACGTATGCACACCCTTTTACAAATTCATTGTCTTCCGATAGCGATTGCCGCCTTTCGCCTGGTGACTAATTCATTGCATTAAAGTTTACCACCTCCGGTTCATTTACGCAATAGTTTCTTGGTTTTTTGTATGTATGATATAAGCGAATTTTAGGTTTGTTTTTTTTTTTTGCTAAATGGATCATGTGCCTGGACCCTGACTACCCATTGAGGAAAAGTGTCAAAAGAAATAACCATTAGTGGCGTTGCGCGTAAACAAATAGTTGCGTGATTTAAACGCGTACTTAATAATTAATTTCCTGACAGGAAGCATTGTAAAAAAAAAAAAAAAAAAAAACAAGCTTAACAAACACACCGAATGCCCGATGAACATGATCCTCCGGCTTATTTGCGGTTTGCTATTTTGAAAATTATTTTACCGAACTTTGTAGACCACTCAAAATTTGCGCATATCTTGGATGCACGGTTAATTAACAAACCATAATATAATAAACTCACCACAATTTACGGATCGCTAGATCATTAAGGAATGCGCGAAATATAATAAGGTGATTCATAAAAATAACCTTTAATATTTATTGGTTCACATGGGTTAGCGCAAAAAAATCAGTCTATAACTATCCATAGTTATTCCATACAGTACATCCATTGTCATTTTGCGGCTTGGTCACAAATACGATCACTACATTATTGTTGGTCTTACACTAAAACGTAAAACAAACAATATATCGGACGACGCTGATTCGACACCGAATATCTGTTTTGGGTTAAAATTTGATCACATTACAAAAATACAGCATTATTTTGTAAATTTACATTTGAATGTTTAAAATGAATGTGTTTTCATATACAATAAATAGAATTTGTAATAATGCAATATTTAAATGATATAACAATATGACTATTATAATATACTTTGCATTTATAGGGATTTCGGGAAATTCATCAATTCTTTTACTTACAATAAATTAGTAATTAAAATTGAATTTTATTTTTCTAACTGTAATACAGTATTTAATACATTTATTTTATTAATTTCACGATATCAATAGACCATTTTTAAAAATCTTTTTATAGATTTTAACCGTACAGTAATTATTATTAATTTTTAATTGTTATCTTTATTTTCACGACAGAATAAAAATTTTATAAAAAATTTTTTAGAAAAAAATTCTTTTTATTGAATAGAGCATTTACGGTCAACTCTTGATAAAAGAAACTGTGCACAATAGTCTGTATTAGTTAATGATCAATGTATTAATTGAAAATAGTTACCGATCATCAAAAATTTTCCGGGTCCCGGTTTACTCGATAAAAGAAAATTTTGATACACGGGGGGATTTCGAAAAATCCGAAACTTTTTTTAAATGTAAAAAGTTGTTACATAATAAACTTTTTATTCTATTAATTATATCACTTTTACATATTAATTAAAGTTAAACTACACAATGCATTCTATATACTTTTAAATTTTTATCACACTACGTTAGACTTCTATTATTAACATTTAAGCTATTTATATGAAATTTTTTTTAATTTTTGAGTTTAATTATAATATATAACATATTACTAAAACTAATGTTTTAATAGATAATATACTATTAAGTAATCTTGTGTATTATATCTTTATTTACA